GGAAACACTGTTTGGTTTTCCAAAAGAAACGACTGGGGGGGTGGGGTAGGATGTTGTCTAAGCAAAAAGTCAAGGGACTGTCATTAATGAGCATAAACTATAGAATGATGAGAAAAACAGCCTTTCTTTTTCTTTTTTCTTTCCTGAACTCTTTCTTTTATCTTTTATCTATTTTGTCTTTTTTTTTTTAAATTTTGTCTTTTATATTTGCTCATGTTACATTTATTCATGTTCAAAATCACACACACAGACAGACACATGGACACACAGTTACACACATACATATGTGTGTGGCCTCATCCTGCAGTGGATAGACAATGGCTAAAAATGATGATAATGATAATGGATATATTTCAAGAAATTTCAAATAAAAGAATGAAATACCTACATTAATAAATAAATGGTTAAGAGTCTTAAAGTATATTAAGTTTATTTTTATTGTTCATGACTATTGGACATCTCAAATAACAGGCTTGTCTGTAAATTGTACTGGAAGCGCCAAATGATAGATGGCACACTTATATTATGAACTTGTACCATTAATGCCTCATTTTGCTTTTAATATTCATATCATTTTCAAATGGTTTGGAAAGAATGATATGGTTTAAAGATGTGAATACTGCTTTAAATTATATGTTAAAAAGCTGAAATTCATCAATATATGAAGAAGTTCTCAGCATGGTGAAGGAAATATTACTTTATTATGATGGAAAGATTGTGCTACTCTGGATAGACAGTCTTGGACTGATGACAGATGGTTATTTTGTGCTTATGAACTGGCTCTGTATAGACATAATGGAAAGCATGATCAATATTATTCCATGTGGACAAGGTTTAATGCTTTGTTTGAGAACTGAGCTTGTGTCTCTCTGTGTGTAATATGTTGTTTCTGGGAGGACGGGATTCCTTGAAATCAGAGAGAGAGAGAAACAGGAGGGATATGGTTTTCTGGCAATGTTTTCTATATTTTAGCCCAAGCATTGACTTTCATCAGAAGCCAGTTTATAAATAATTAAAATCCTTATTTGCAAAATGAAAACACATTCAATAGCAAAAACATATGTGGAGACTTTTTCAGGCCCAATGTACAACTCTTTTTTTAGTGGCAGTTCTAACGCAACAAGATTTAAACACTTATTCATTTCCTTTGGATGTATCACATATATACATTATTACACATAAGTTGGAAGTTATTAATTAACTATAAGGACTTAATTGATAACATATATTATCAAATAACTACTAGAGAGAGGTTGGCAAAGTTGGGTTAGCAGCAGGTGATAGCACTGGGTTGATTCTTCCTGGCGTTGGAAGTTAAACCTAGTTAGCATTTGGATGAGAGACAACCAGGAAATTGTTAAAAAAAAAATCTTGGAAGGAACTAATGGGAATCACAGGGAGTCCATATGATGAAGGAGGTGTTTATCCTTAGAAAATTTTAAAGTCCCTACCTGCTTCCTGCCTCCGATCATCATTTTCAATATGCAAAAAACATTAGCCAGTTATGAGTAAACATTTTATGCAAAGGCGAAGAGAACAGATTTAGTACAGATCTGGCATTCTCTGGTCTCATGAAACATTTCCCATTACAAATATTTGGAAAAGGCAACTTCATTCAAAGCCAAATTTTCCTGCAGCTTAGTACAGAGGAGTCGATCCCTCTTCAGATATTACTGAAATGGAAACACCGCTGCCTTTTTAAAGCACACTGTATGATTTCTGCTCTTGAACTTAAATCTCTCTATTGCAGAGATGACCTCAGAATGCAGAGACATTTCTCATCATCAGGATGATCAGGACAGGATAGAATAGATTCTCGCCAGCCACATTCCTGGTCTCGTCCCTGGTTTAGTGTAATGTATTATCAAAGCTTGCCAGGAATAGAACACTTGCGCAAATGTCAATAGCCAAATCAATTCTAATAAGCTTCTCAAGTGGATACTGTGGATTAGCAAATGGCTTTCTAAGCAAGATGGGATCCTTGATGCAACTGCATTAAGTGCACATGCCTTTGAGAGGGTGCCATGTGCATTTAAAAAAAAAACCAGGGCATTGACATTCATTTGCAAAGGTTGGCAAGTCCAGAGAACATCTAAAAGCTCAGGAGTTGCAGGTCCCTTAAGTATAATTGTCAGTATTCAATTGTCTGTCTACTAGGAGGAAATTGTCTGCTCATACGTGTGTGTGTTCCATGGAAACATACCAGGATTCATCTTGCATTCTTATTCATCACCCTCTGGAAATTTCACCTGGCATGCACACTTAGCACATGGGAAACCTTAACTATCCATGAATATCCAAATTTGTCTAATACTGACATTTACTTGGAGCCTTTCAGGAAAAACAACCCTCAAGGCAGGTAAAAACAGATCAAAACATAATGCACCCATGGATACAAATCAATCCATCTGTCCTAAGTTTCCTCTTCCCCCTCGCACTTCTGGGCAAGTTGGATCTGAACTGCTATTATTTCTGCAGGAAGAGTGTCAGCATTTCCTTGCGTGATAAGTCTGAATGGAGGTTTTTTTTTGTAATAGTCTTTTGGGGAGGCAGAAGGTGCACCTTTGTAGGCACTTCTGTCTGTGGGACACAATTAAAAATGGCAAGATGGCAGCCATGATGATGTGATTGAAGTTTGGACTGTTTTGATGTGCATCACATGAGTGATCCACATTGAAAAAAAAAATGTTGGAACTTTGATTGCAGCATTGTGGTTTCCATCTTTGACCACACTCTGCAGACAATCCTGTCACCAATGTTCCTCCAGTGAAGACGACTTTCTTGCAGGTCTAGAGAAACTCACTGTGGCCATCTTGCCATGGTCAATTTGCTGCTAGATAACTCACCACGACCAACTCACCATGGGACAAACTTGCTTCAGGAAAAGAGCTACAGTAACATCAAAGAAATGGTGGAATAAAATCATTAAAGGAAGGATGCAAAAGAAGGGATAAAATGAAATGTGAATGACAAAAATTAAAAGGTTTAATTATTTCAAATAATTAAATTGAATCGTTGAATTGTTCTGTGGTGAGTTCTCCCATGGTGAGTTGGCCACAAGAGAGTTGTCCTGCGGTAAGTTGTTCCATTCTGGTTTCTTGCTGCCGTTAATGTTTGCTTTCTTTTCTTTGTAACTGCTTGCCTGCTGCCAAGGTAAAAGAACAAAGCTTTGTAATTGTTAGGTGAGCTACAAGTTAATGGTAAGCTTTCACCAACCAGGCACCCTTCTTCAGGTATCTAGACATCCATTTCATAACTTCCAGCATGTCCACTGTTGAGAATGCAGGAAGAATACACTTCATTAGAGTGCCACATTAAGGATGCCTGGCAAAGATATGCTTGTATCTGGCATTCATTTCTGCTTACGGCTTCCATCATTTGTCTCTTTGATCACTGTGCTCCCTTCCATTTCCATAATTCCCAGGCTATTCACAGACAAATATAGAGTGGGCTGGAACATTTTACTCTATGTACAAAAAAAATATATGTAGTTATGTTGGTAATCCCCTAATTGCGATAGATAATTTATCAACATTTGCTCGGAAATGATTGTGTTCTTAGTGGATTGGTTGAAGTGAGATGTTTTCAGTGTATGTCCCGATTTGGAAGAAAACTACTCAGTTCCTTTTCATCCCAACTGTCTTGGAACATTTTTTCCCCCTTTCCCTCAATACGTGGCTATCAATATTCACAAAATATTTGGTCTTCCATACAAGATAAGGAGGGAGGTGGAAAGAATATGGATATCAGTGTTTCAAGCAGGTTGCTTAAGTTAATATATAGACCCATTAAGCTAGATAGGATGCTTTTCTGAATATGGGTTGAATTGCTCTGCTGGACCTTTGTGATGGTACAGTAATGTAAAGGCAACAGTGTAAATCTATGCAGGGTTCCCCAGTGAGAGTTGCATTCATCTTCACTCTACCCAGTTTGAAGGTGCAGCAATTCACTCTGCTAACTGATGGCTTCTGCTCTGTGATGAGGAGCACTTCGATGTTCTCATGAACATTTCATCAGGTTGTATGTGAAACAGCTTCAGGAATCCTTTCACTTTTAGCACTTTCGTGCACTACATCATTAAATCAATCTGGCTTTAAGATTATTTTGGTGAACATCCCTCAGGAAGTCACCCTTGGGATTCTCTCCCCACTCATGCCCCGACTAGCTTCTTTCTAATCATCCCTTTTGGTGGGATCTAAAAGTGGAGGAAAATCCTGAAAAGGTTCAGCACTGCCCTGATGCTGCATATTAACTACTTCATAAACCTCTTGCCAGATGATTAATTTTCTGCCACCAAGACTGTTGAATCCAATCACCGACTGGATTATTTAAAGTTACTCCAAATTTGGAAGGATGCCTATTAGAGCTCAAGCAGAATGAAAAATTAATGCCCAATTAAGCAATGGTTTCTCCCACTCTGTTTTGTAAGGCAAGACGTGGAAAGGAGGTGTTTTCTGCTTTCATAATGAGTAGCTGCCATTTCTGAATCAATCATTCTAAATCAGCACCAGAAGTTCATAGCTAAACTTGCATTTAACCAACAGTTCACAGCAGGCTTCAGATTCAAGATTATGTCAAAGAAGTTTGAAAAGACCCAGAAGAGTCTGACATCTGCAAATGCAGGGCAGCTTGTGACCATAAATCCCAGAGACTAGTGGCCTTGTTTCCATCACTTTTAGTGGAAAATACACAAAGGCTGTATTCTAAGACCTGAAATTGGCTTAACAGAGTTCAGAAAGAAAAGCATGCCTTCCAGAACATCCAGAAAATATGTACATATGAAAAAACCCCTTGCTTCATTATTTTTCACTATCACCTCATCAATAGAGATACTCTCCTTTCCTTCCTCAACCCCATATCCTCCCAGCTTTGTGAAGACCCTCCCTGGTCTTCACAAAGCTGCCCATCCCTAGCTTATGGTCCACAATTTCCAGAAACTGTAGCAGGTGAGTAACAAATGGCATCCTTAATATGTTCATTTCCCTCATCCTGGTACCCACCAGATGTCATGATTGCAGCTTCTTCTCAGCTAAGGTAGAAAAAGGTTGCATTCTAAACATATCTGGAGGACAACAGAAGAAGAGTCCTCATTTTTGTACATCTTCTAAAGCTGACAAGCTACCATTTTCAGGACAAACTGAAAGAAAGAAAACCTATTTGAATATCTATTTTTATAATGTTTCCCAGCAGGAGCAACAATTGATGAAGGAAGGAAAATCTAAATCAAAGGGAAAAGAGGGGAGGATTGGTTTTAAATTTTGTGAAGTCAGGTACATTATCACAGGCTAATTTAAAACTTAATTAAAATATGTAAAGGATTTGGGGAAATAGCTTTTGGGAGACTATTTACAAGTCAAATCTTCACGCATTTGAAATCAAAAGGAGTTGATTTGCAGGGAGGGAGAGAAGGAAGTTTCCTCTCTACTTAATATTTGCAGAAAAAAAGGAGATAAACATTCATTTAGATGCCCTCAAGTGTTAGCATTTTGCAGTTAGAAGACAGCTAATGTGGTAAATTGAGGGGAGTATGGTACTCAAGTCAACCAGCCCAGGCATACAGTGATGTGTACGGCAATTATATCTCCTTTGCTTCAATATTTGGAACAATTTACTGAAAAATTGTCACTGAAAAGCACTACAAAACCAGCACAAAAGCCAATGATCCTTTGTGCCCTTCTTCACTCCTTTTTGGAACTGACAATATGATTCTGCAGAGCAAGCTTTTTCGTTCACACTCAGTAAACTGGACATAAATCTCATTGTACTCAAAGTAAGTTGCTCTGTTGACATCCCTTGTTCAAAGAAGTAGCAAAATTTGTTTCTGCATCAATAGAAATGCCTGCCTACCATAGCCATGGCTGCTATTCTGATCTGCTTAGCTATGAAATGGATGAAATGTCTAGTTGATATTCCATTGTGTACAACCTCTCTACTGATCCAGATCCTGTCTGTCTGTCTATCTATCTTCTTCGCATGATCAGTGAACAGATGAATGATATTCACTGGAAACTACAAACAGAGCAAGTTTCCTGATTATGCATAAACTCTAAACATAGTGTTAACATCCTAACAGTCACTGTCTGACATCCTAGTTTATTCGGTTGACATGAGCAGCTGTTTACAGGGACCCAGTGCTGTGATTTATGATGTTTAGCAAGTCAGGGCACCAGTGAGAAGATTACTACCTTTAGTCATTTCATACGAAATGAAGTTCCTGTCTTTGCATACATTAGGCAAAACAGAATGAGAGTTTAAGACCCTATATTGAGCCAAACGCCTTTCTGCTTGATGCCTGGGTTTTGGGTGGGTTTTTTTTAAGGTCTTGAAAAGGATCAAAAAGGTGAAGGTGCACCAAACAAAACTCTGCCAAAGGATAAGCTGAATAGTAATAACTGTAATATAAGAAAAATACTCTTTAATAGTAAAATAATAATAATAAATTGGATTAGGTCTACCCATCTTTTGTGCAATCTTTGAGAAAAGAAAAAAAAGGAAATTGTTTAGAAAATAGTTATATGGAGACTAATGGGGGATAAATTCCCACATTCTTTTCAGTATTGGAGAAAATATTAATTCCAAGATCTCAGTAGCCCTCTGTTGTATAGACAAGGGGATTTTAGCAGTGTTGCAAAACAAGCAATATCTTCTGAAGCTGAGCTCCCATTCTCTACAGCTGTCAAAAATACAGAAAGCTAGACTTCTTTTGGACCCGGTCACCCTATCTTTCAGATAATGAAAGCAATATGTTGCATACAATCAAGTATTCAGCTCAGCAGGGCATCCATTCATCAGAGTAGCAATGTTGTGATCCAAGTTCTTGAATCCCTTTGCTGAAAAAGCAACATGGAGGTTCATAAAGTATAACACCTTAGTCATGTAATATATGTGGATACATGCATAATTTTGTAATTATTTATTTAGTTTCTCATGTGTATATAATGTATATTGGAGGTGGTGATTCTTTGAGAGCTGTATGCAATGAAATTTCATTTAGATATATGCCAATTAGTGTACATTCAAAGTGACAATAAAGTTACTCTACTCTACTCTACTCTACTCTACTCTACTCTACTCTACTCTA